TGTAACTGGTATACATATGTATTTGTATATATGGCGAGCGAGATTGGGAGAGGAATGGAGAGAGGCGAGCGAGAGAGGGCAGAGAGGCTAATTGTGTTTGTATATCTGTCATATAATTGTGTGTATATATATATATATATATATATATATATATATATATATATATATAAAATTTGTATTTGTATATGTATAAGCAACGTAATTACAACTAAATTTAAATTGCAAGTTGTAATTAATTCAAACTATAACTATGTTAACTAATTAACTAGTATATATTTACTTATACGCGTAAGTTTTCCTTTTAAATTTAACTCAGTCTTATCTAGGACTTTCAACATGACTACGTTTCTGCCGCATTGCGACTAATAAGATAAGATCCGAGATATTTTGTCAAAGGATATCATTAGTCCTTGTCAACTTTGCTTCAACAGTAAATTATTGTGCGATTTTCTTATTAGTCTCTCTGCTTTAAAAATATAATTTACTTTTTTTTTTTAGTTTGTTTTAAAAGAATGACTCCTTTCTCTTTTTTGACAACATTTTAATTTCAATCTTCCACATGACATGTTTAAAACTATAAGATTAAAGAATATTTTGGTATATTTGACATAACTTTAGTTTAGGAACACAAAATTGAAAAGTTTTTTTATTTTCTTAAATTATGTGTCAAGTCAAACTAAGTCATTCTTTATTAAATGAAGGGAGCGTTTAATATGGTAAAAAAAATTTGTTATCCTAAATTTGGGTTGTTGAATTCCCATACAAATATACTTGTTTTAAATTTTACAGTTTGTGACATTTAGCTCATGATAATATTTTGTTAGAATAATTTAGAAAACTCCCTTTAGATTTAGCTTTATAAAAGGAAAAATTGTATGAAATAGCAAATTATTAATTTAAATTAAATGTTATAGTCATAGTTTCTTTTATTTATAATTGAGATAAGTTTTAAAAACACACCTAAACTATACCCGTTTTTTGAGTTTCATACCTAAACTATTGAAAGTGTGAGTTTCATACATAAACTATCACTTTTTAGTTTAAGAAACACACCTCTCTCTTTTATACTACTCTCATCATGGTGTGTGTAATACACTCTCTCTTTTATTTTAAAAAAATTGTCACATCACACTCCATGGACAAAACATTCAACTTTGACAAAAATTAAAAAATTATTATCCAAAAAAATAATATTTTCTTTATAAATAAAATGTAAAATATTTTTCTTATCCCACTACATCACTTCCTCTCACCCCCCCCCCCCCCCCCCGCATTTTTTTAAAATTTTTTTGTTTAAATTTCTTTTATAAGAGAATTTATTTTAGTTTACTTCATCTCCCTCTCCCCCCCGCCCCCCCAAAAAAAAAACTAATTTGGATATTATTTTATTTAAAAAAAAAAAAAAATCTACCCACCCCACCTAACCCTCCACTTCCAAATTTTTTCTCATTTTGTGTTAGATATATACATATCAAAAATATTTTTTACTTGCCGCCGCAAGATATTTTTTAATTTTTTACTTATTTATGTTATATTCGGTACACTAGTAGAAATTTTTTTTCTAAAAATATATGTACGTACATATCTAACACAAAATGAGAAAAATGTAAAAAAAAAATAAAAAAAATTAAGAGTGGAAGGTTAAATAGGATAGGGTAGAATTTTTTTTAAAAAAAAAATAAAACAATATCAATTTTTTTTGGGGGGTGGGGGAATGAGTGGGAATGAGTGGGTGGCTTTTTTTTTGGAAGGGGAGGGTGAAGTATGAATTTTAAAAAAATATTTTTTACAAGATTTTTTTTAAAAAAATGGATGGGGATTACGGGGGTACGTGGAGGAGGTGGTAGAGTGGGATAAGAAAAATAATTTAAATTTTATTTTTTTAAAAAAATATTTTTTTATGAATAGTAACACTTTAATTATTAATTTTTAATTAATATTAATAGTTTATTATTTAATTTTTGTCAAGGTAAAATATTTTATCCATGTGGAATGTCATGTGTCAATTTTTTTTTTCAAATAAAAGAGAGTGTATTATACACACTAGTGAGGTGTGTTTCTCAAACTAAAAAGTAATAGTTTAGGTATGAAACTCACACTCTCAATAATTTAGGTATGAAACTCGAAAAAAAAGGGATAGTTTAGGTGTGTTTTTAACACTTATCTCTTTGTAATTCGCAGCAAACATTTCATGTTTTTTGTCATCCCATTTGTATACCGAAATATACAAATAGACCAAATTATACAAATGCAGGATCCATTTGTATACCGAAATATACAAATGCAGGACCCATTTGTATACCGAAATATACAAATGCAGGATCCATTTGTATACCAAAATATACAAATAGACCGAAATATACAAATAGACCCAAATACCTATTTTTTAATGTATATGTATACCAAAATATACAGATTAATAGTCATGTTTGCTATGGAGCGCAATTATACAAACTATAGTTATAGCATACAAATATGATTTTTATGTTTGCTAAATCTAAAATTTACTCATAAAACCTTCATTGTGATTAACAATGTTACGCCTATCTTTTTTAATTAATTATTTTGAACAATTATTTTAACTTATTTATCATTAATAAAATAAATTATGATCTACCTAATTTACCTTTTAATATGTTTTTTTTATTTATTTGATATAGCTTTTTAATGATACAACTTCAAAACTCTAATCGTGTATAACTTTTTGGCTTCTACAAACACGAGAAGAATTGTAGGAATTGATCAATGATACAGTGCTTGCTCATCCCATATGAGATATGCTTTGTGTCACGTAACTCTTCATATTCTAGCTAGGAGATATACTTATCAGAAAATTTAATCGTAGAGAAGCTTTCAACTAAGCTTTATGCGCTAAAGTTCCCTTATAAGCTTAATTCACATCCAATACACAATTCCCACTCTTAATATTTGACCTTTACACCTAATCACAATCAAATTCGCCAAGTTTGAATCTAATTTCATAGGTGAAACGGTTTAAATCATAGTCTGATGAATAATTTGAGATGTTATATAAATACATACATTTGAGTTTAGCTTAAGCAAATAGCCATATCATTCTTGTATAATCAACCACATTTAAAAAGTATTTATTATTTATCATAAATAGTTGCTACTAGAGGTCACCTGAATTATATCAAATGAACCCTATGTCACATTCGTTTCTTTAAGCAACTTCACTTGCTCTGGCATTTAGTTCAAACGTTGAAAAAAGAAAGAATATAAAGGTCAAAAGATGTAAATGTAGTAGAACATCACAAAGTGTTTTCTTGTCGTTGAGATTCCTCTTTCCATCTGTATTTTATAATATACTTTTAAAGTGATGTGTCATGAGCACTATCTTTATTCTTGTGGTAGAAGTGCTTTCTCTAATAAATAATAGGAGTACTTAATAAATAAATCTTGAATACAATAATGATGTTTTACGTTTCCCTTACTTCCTATATGGTCACCTTTTGGAAGGTAAACTAGCAATAGTCATATTTTTTTATGCAAAATTTATGTGACAATATTATTTTTGAGACAAGTGAAAAACACAAGCTTCGATCATAACTTACACATTGTTTTTGGCCGCCTTATTTTATCACTCAAGATCCAAGTCATTGATAAAAAATTCTTGATTCCTCACAGCTAACATTAGCTTTTTTTCTATATGATAACTTGCACGTATAGAACACACGCTCTCACAAGAAAAAATCAACAAAACAAGTGTAATAAGACAGTTTCAATAAAAAAATTGTAGAAAAGTTGGACTCAAAATAACTAGGGTTATAAAATGGCGGATTAAATTTAATTTAAATAAATTAAAGTGGATTGGATTACGCTAAATAAATCGATCATTATATAAGATGTCACGTGCAAGGTTATAGTTTAACATAACATATCAAAGTAGCAAGTACACTATTTACTAGGACAATTTCAATAGAACACGTCTAGTATGCAAGTTTTATTTATGAGCTCACCTCATTGCGGTGAACGACTTTTTGAACCTGTCTTATATTAATTAATTAATGACTTCACGTGTCGAGTCATCCCATAAGTAAGTAAACAAATTATTTTATTATTTTACTTATATTATATAGAGAACATAGAAGCCTGCTAGTATTTTTCAACCATTTTAATGTATTGCAATGGGTAGGTGATAAAAAGATTAGTTTAAAATGGTATTGCAATGGGTAGGTGATAAAAAGATTAGTTTATCACGAAACAACTAACCTTGATACTACTATCATTATAACTTTTTGACAAAAATAAGTTATTCTAATACATATAATTTATTTTAAAATTAATAATCAAAGGTAATGGATAAAACAGTACTAATAATTTTTTACTTTATGACCATCTAATCCAACACACCATTGAAGTTGAAGAAGAAAATTTACACTGTCGATGTCGAAGTGAGTGGGCAGTCGCCTTCTTTACCGTGTCCACATGCCCTTCTATATTTTTATTGGTTTGATATTTGAATTAAACTCGATTGGATAGAATTTAAAATCTCATGAAAAATTTTACATTTAAAATTCGAATTCAATTATATAAATAGCAGTCTGATTCAAGGATTTTTTCATTTGAAATTTCTAAATGGAAAGAATAACAATCTCATCCACCGCACTATTTGATATTCATGTTTTTTTATCTCTGTTTTATGTCTATACCAGCTTTTAGCTTTTACTGTGTTTTGCAAACAAACAACAGTAAATATATGGAAGTACACATTGCAGATTTTAGCTCACCCCTAGCAAAAGATGAAGCTTTTATCCCCAAAAATCAAACAAAAGGGAAAAAAGGCAATGTAAGAAGGATTTGTGTCGTTAGTGAAGAAGGGAAAGTTGATGTAAAAGAAGTCATTGGTAGGGCTGGTTTTCACTGTTCTGGCTTCTTGTGAAACTTACCATCAATTGCACCATTATACATGCACCAGTAGCATTTTTCATAAAGCAAAGTGGACCCCTTAATGTCTTCCTTACTTAGATATAATATTCATCAGTTCCTTTCATTCGACCTTTTCTTCACTATTTTACAGTCCACAGTTACAAAGATGACCTGCTTAGACTCACAGTCAAGAACCCCATCTCGTCTTCTTCCCTCAAAAAGGTAAATTTTTCACCTTTACTGCCATTTTCATGAATAATTGAGTCAAAATTCAATAACCCACCTTTTTTGGATTTGTATTTCAAGATTCTAAATGTAAAGTGACAACCTTTGAATCTTGCCAATTTTACTCATGATTCATCTGTCATAATTGAGTAAAACCAAGATTTTCCTGGTTGAACCCTGTGACCTGGTCATTTTACTGTGGAAAGGGAATCAATGTAAGGTGTAATAGTGCAATTAAATCATGATTTCCTCTTTTTTGCCTTTCTTGTTATCTTGAATTTTCCAGATTTGTGAATTTTGGGGTAAATTAAGGTAGTTTTATTTTTTAAGCATGATTTCTATTTCAGTATGTTACTTGGGTGGAGGGTCCATCGGAATCAGCCTCTCTACCTTCACAGAAAGGTAGGGGTAAGGTTGGTACGCACTACCTTCCTCACACCCCCACGTGTGGGATTACACTGGGTATGTCGTTGTTGTTGATTTCTCTTTCAGTATGAATATAGTGTGGGAGAGTAACTTGGTACCTCCTTGTTGTATCTTGAAGATGTCTTCCATCCACTTTTCTACCTTCTGGCATGGGGCCCTGTATAAGCCTTAATGAAGGCATCTGCGAATGACCCTATTGAGTTTTCAGGCAAGAGTGAGTACCAGGTTAATGCTACCTTCCTGAGCGTTTCTCCAAACTTTTTAACTAGTACCAATTGTATCTCTGGCTTTGTCAGGTCATTCTCTTTGATTCTGGTTTTATAGGTTGTGGCATGGTCCCTGACACCTTTTGGTTCCATTATACTTATCGAGATCTGGCATTCTGAACTTATTGGATATAGGTAGGGGGCTGCACTTAGTTTCCTTGGTTGTTGAGAGTATCTTTCCACATCTATAACCTTGAGTATGGGTGGAGCCTCCGAGTTCTGATCAATACACTTGTTTTGCTCCTTAAATCTGTCTCAAAAGAGTCTCCTGCAGAGCTAAGGGTTCGTTTGGCCATGTGAAATTGAAAAAGTAGTTTTTGTTTTCGAAGTGAAAAATGGTATTTAGAAATTGACATGCAGTTCGGGAGCACCAGTGCCTTGACCTATTCTACTAGTTATTGAGTCTTCAGTTCCTAAGTCGCCAGGAAGTCCCTCGGTAAGACAGCTTCCTGGTATGAAATTTGGAGTGTCCCTGCCCTGGTTCCACTCTTGGTGGCGCAGGCGATCATGTGTTGACATTCGCGGTCAAGGCCAACAACACCTTGCTGATCTGCCTGTTCCAATCTTGTTGTTCGGTTGTGAAGTTATTCTTTCGTGTGACCAATCATTGCACCTTTTCTTCCCAACTGGGTTGTGCATTTTCTTTCCTTTTGTTTGGAACTCTTTGAGGTGACATCTCCTTTGACAGTCGTGCTTTGCTGAGTTCCCAGGAGATTGGCCTGGAGTCGTGTGTGGCAGTTGTGATCTGCTTTGTCCTGCCATTATACTCCACAGAAACAACAATTACAAAATCAATAAAGGATCAATATTGTTTTGGAACAACCACACAATTACTAGGGTCCTACTGTGGGCGAAAAACTGTTTGACCTATATCAACCAGTTAAATTTATAATATTGAGGTCACAAGCAGTGCGATTAATCCAAATCTAACTAATCATTTGATAATGACTTTAATGAAAATAACATGATAACAGTAGCAAAGTGAATAGTCAAACTGAAGCAATAGAGAAACAGATAGAGAGAGTGATTCATATTGAATTTTCCAGGCCAACTGATGGCGAACAACGATGAACAACAATAGATACATAATAATGTTGCTGAACCGTAGGTATAATAATCTGTGTAATCAGATGTCTTACAATGGTGGAAAGATGGGAGTATCTATAGGATAATCTAATCATAACCGACAACGTGAATCTCGCACATTTCAATGATAAGATCGTGACTATTAGACGTGATATAATGAAATTTCGGATATCTCAAGTTTGGCTGTCATAGAGAAGTTAATGATTGGGGTACTTTGGACTTTCCGGGTGTATCCTTCTGGAAAACTGTTGTCTGACATGGGTGAACCGGACCCGGGGACAAGTTCTGAGGTGGCTAAGGGTTCTACGGTTTTTGACCAGGCTGTCATCGACTGACTTGTGGAAGACTATGAGTTCCTTCTGCACTTGCCACATGTCCAGTCAAATAGTCTTCGCCCTGGTATATTTATTACCTATACAAAAAGGCCTTTCTATTACTGTGTAGATAAGTGTTTGGCATTTTCCTGTCTATTTTCAATGACATTTTATCTTGCCTATACCTGAATTGGTACCTTTTCTTGTCTGGTGCTTGTGGCGTGTTTATTATGAGTCTTCATAGTTTCTAAGGTGTCAAAATCAGTCATTATTGGCATTTTGTGGAGTTGCAGAATTTGTTCAATTAATTTGCAGAGTGTTGTTGGTCCTATGCAGTGTCTGATAGCTTTTCAACCCTTCTCAAGCAGTCTTATTTTCATATCTTTTGAATCTATGGCATCATGTACAATATTTTGAAGAAGGGAGAGATGGTCAAAACTAAACGACAGTTTTTTTGCACTTGGTTTGCAGTCATGAATAGTTCATTATAATCCCTCTATGGATGTACATTTCTTTGTCTTTGTCATTTATCCTCAAATGTACACCATTCTATATAAGAGGTAGATACATGTATATGAAGTGAATGTGAAAAAAATGACACCTATTTCTGGAAACGGGTGTTACTGGATATTCAGTGTGTGAAAACTTGATCTTCTTTATAAGCTTCTTTCAAGTCCTTTTATCATCTTCACCTGATCAACTCTAAATTCTACAGACAGTAAAAGGACCCTGCAGTCTGAAGAAGAATAGTGTGAAATCATACCTGAAACATTTACAATGAGTAACAGCTTGTTACATAGTCATTATTCGAGTGGTGGAATCCCATCAGAGATTGCTGAGAATCTAAAAGATTTGTTTCCTGAGGATGGCGATTTGAGCTATGAAGAAGTTCTTTTGCAACAGGTATCACAGAATGAAATAGATGTTTTTGCACAAGGTTCAACAGGGGGCGGCCCTTTTGTTGACCATCTTTCTATTCCTTATTCAGTAGTTAACAGTATTTTCTGTTGACAGTTGGATTGTTGTCTTGCAGGAAACTGTTTACTTATCATTTCAAGCAAATGGGAAAAACAAGAATATGAGCTCTGAATACGGTCAGACCAGTAACGGGCATCAGTTATCAGCACAAAAGAGTGATTCTTCTCAAAGCCCTGAATCACAGTTGGCTCTGGATGAAGCTATAGCTAGATCATTGCAGTTGGGGGATGATTTTGAGGATTACTGTAGAGATGAGCTTAATTCTACTGTGGCTGGTAATTGCATAAGAACTTCATTTATTCAGTAAAATTTCTTGGTCGTACAGCTTTTATCTCTGCTTTGTCTTAGGGTACAATTTGCATGATATTACCTTCTTTTTTTTTTTTAACCTATTCTTCTCTGTGATTAAAGAAGATGTTAGTCATCTTATTCTGACTGGTTCATAAGTATAGCCATGAACAATGATATATAGATACCAAGATGTTAAAACTTTGCCAAAATGAAGTCTTTCTTACACTGATGACTGAACTGTAGAATGGACGAAAGGCTAGTGGCTTGTAATCTGACAACTTAAATACCAAGGACAAGGAACTTCACTAAATGAACATTAATATTGAGATAGTGAAGAACATGAAGTGTTCTAGTAATTGCTGGAAAGAATGGTTTTTTCCCTGCATACCAGTGTTATGAACTGTTTATACCAAAGAATGCAGTTGATTAACTTTGTGATGCAAAGTGTGCACGTGAATCAAGTATTTGTTATTTTGTTTTTATTTAAAAAGTAACAATTATTTTAAAATACACGTGTTATTCACTGGTATGCCCGTTTGACACATCATAGGTGATTGTAACTCACATGTGAAATCTGGTGGACACGGGTGTCCACAAGGCACACGTATGATCATGTGAGGTGTCTAACTGATCACTACCTTACTTTTGATGGCTAACTGGCAGTTGTTGCCAACTTCGATCTGTTTATGTGTTTTGCCGATGTTTTAGCTTAGAAAATCATTTTGTGGTGATTAAATGAGAATTTCATTGGTCAATAGTGGAGTGGAGCATGAGGATTTGGCGTTTGGTGATTATTAATAGTTGCAAATAGTGGAAATAGTGTTTACCTTTATAGGAGTAAGTGATATGGAGTAGGAGTGTGGAAAATATTTGTATCACACTATATAGTGTATTATTGTTCTTCAGTTTTCTAAAACCATTTCAAAAAGTGACTCATACTTTAGAGCATTTGATAGGTGTGTGCGTGTTCAGTTTACTCAAAAAGCTAGATTGTACATCTAAACAACTTTGTGGGTGAATAGAAAAGTATGAGTAAATAAATAAAACAGGTTTTACTTTGCGGGTGTTTGAAACATAGTTTCTATTTTGGAAATATTCAGTTCAAGTATTATTGAACTAAGTGTCCACATTACTCATAACCAAGTGACCTCCACATCATCTGCAGGCATCAGGGAATCCCCTCCTAGAGAATCACCTCCGGTCAGGGTATGCTGCAACCTTTTAGTTCTCTAATGATTTTTATGCTTAATAAATTGTATCATGTATGCAAGAATTAATGCAAGCTTCTATTAAGAAGTGCAGGTTGAGAATCCGAACACGAGGAGACAAGATGATATTGATCCAGATAGTATGACCTATGAGGTTAGACTGGAACACTTTTTCTTCTTTTTGATTAAGCTTGAAATAGTAAAAATTGAGTGCCAGAACTGTAATTTATGCACCAGGTTATTTACACAGATAAGTCTTGCTCTTCTATCTTTTGCCACCATGTGAGTTTTCTTATATTCCATTTCGATTGTCTTCTTTCATTTTTGGTAGGAATTGCAGTTTTTAGGAGAAACTGTTGGCCAGCAGAGCAGAGGGCTTTCACAAGACCTCTTAAGTCGTTTACCAACTTTCAAATACAAGACTGGATTCTTCTCAAAGAAAAAGAAAATGGGAGAGTAGGAATAAATTCCCTTCTGATATTATCTCTTCTATCCTGACTAACTCTTTTGTGTTAGCATTTAGAAGAAGTGCAGTGGTCCTTATACAAATGTTTACAGATAAATGTGCTAGTTCAATAATTAACCCATTCTGTTGATGACTTGTGTCTCATTCTTACCAGCATAAAGCATTGCTGGCATTTTTATTTTTTGGTGTTTCTGACTCTTAGTTCCAGTGTCTAGATGAGAAATGGCCCATAATGAAAATGCTATTCATAATGAGAGATTCCTCTTCTAAAGACCAACCCTGCGTCTTAATTAGAACCCCCTCAGCATATCTGAAGAACGCCACCGTGTCTGAAAAAGAGAAAGAAAAAAGAGGAAATGTTTTTTTTTTGACAAAGAAAAAGAGGAAATGTTAAATTTATCTTTTTGGCATTTTTCTGTGGTTAACTGTTGTCACTGCCCTCCCTAACATTATCGTCTTTTTCATTTTTTTGTCTCCATTTTTTTATTAATTAAAAAGTAAGTCTGTCGAGATAAGTTGCCCTTCAGTCCTGTTTCCACCATTCACCATTCATACATTGCTAACAGCTGAAACAGCAGTCAGTTAGTGTTTTAAGTAGCCCATTTGACAATATTTTGAGTAGGTTTCCTGGAAAAGATGTTTGTAAAGGTTGATCCAGTCAATAACTTCATTTTGATTAGAGTGTAGAAACAAACACCTTCAAACAAGTTGAGAAAAAGATATGATCGTCTAACTTGGTCCTTCCAATTTCATTTTATGCAGGTGTGTTATATGTTATGCTGCATACAAAAGCGGAGATATGTTGACCACTTTGCCTTGTGCACACATGTTTCATTCAGAATGTATTAACCGCTGGCTAAAAGAAAGAAAGGTGAGAAATCATATCCTCACACTTAAGATCATGTCCCCTTCGATATTTTCCTGTTTTAATTTTTTTTCCTCCAGTACACAAGTAAGAACATATGATAAAAACATCAAAGAGGCTTAAAGAGAAGTTTTGGCATTGCTTCTCACTATTCGTGTGAAAATGAGATTTTGGATCATAGCATCCTACTCTGATTGAAATGTGCCAACATTTTTTTTGATGCAGTAGCTGTATGGAGTTCTTTCTCGTCTCTAAGACCGGTCAAATTCTCATCTACTTATAGTAGTTCTTAATCTCCCGTTTAGGCTTTCCTTCTAAAGCACACTTGCAGAGCTTCACAAACAAATAGTATTTTCATCTTTTAATCACGCAAGAAGTTCTAGAATAACCTCTCTAAATAGGAAAAGGATGACTAGTTTGGGATTGAATTGAATCGGATAAATGTGCAAAAGTCAGCTCATGGACAATTAACACATCTCGGTGCTAAACAATACCACTTGGAAGTTTCAACTTGTTATTCATTTGAACTCAATACTCCACTTTTACAGGCTCTCTACCCCCAAAAGGTAGGGGTATGGTCTGCATACATCCTATCCTCCCCAGACCCCACTTGTGGGATTACACTGGATATGTTGATTGTTGTTGTTCAATAGTACACTTTTACAGGAGAAACACTGCTTTTTTTCCCACTGCAGCAAAACTGACCACCATCTGTGTTTGTTTTCTTTTTTGTGCATGTGTTGCTGTCACAGAACTGCCCCCTCTGTTCTGAAGAGGTGAAAGATGAATGACTTTGCAGATCCAATGCCTTGTTGCTCAACTGATCTGCCTTCAAATATCACTTTTCGTTCATGTAATAGAGTATCAGCCTCCTTTAAAGACTTATATTTGGTTTGTAAATAGCCTTCTGGTTTGATTCCCCATATTTCACTATCTGGACATATGAATGAGACCGTTAAGCAAACTAAACTGTCTAGTCCTGCTCTTGGTATCAGCATATCTTGCTAGACATTGACTTCGATATGCCAATTATTTGCAAGCACAACATTATGCCCCTAAACTATGTGAATTTAAGTGGATATGTCCGTAGTGGTAATACTTAGTTCAAATTTGCCCTTATTTTAAACGCACTAGTCAAATTAGCCTAATTAATAAGTGAGAAGGGGTCCAATATCTCCTTAAAGTATGTGAAATTGAGTAGATATGCCCTTCTTTAACAATGTATGTATATTTGCAAATGTCCGGACTGCAACCAGCACATATGAAGCTCTTGCTTTTATTACATAAAGAAAATGAATGAATTCATCTTGAGAATCTTAGTAGCTTCGTTGGTTGGCTTCCTGAACTTTCACGTTGTTGTTGAGGGTTCGATTCTCATTTTGTAATCCTATCCCGCATTTCCCCTTCCCCTGCTTCTAAAAAAAAGAGGAAGAAGATGGATTGATTCTCCCTAATGGCAGGAAGCAATAAAATTACATAAAAAATTATTTGAAGTTGATCAGCCTAATAGGATGAAATAAACTACTTACTGTATTAGTTTAGCAAAGCTAGATACACCTTAAACAAAAATCATTTGGTGTCCATTTGAATCATCATTAATTCACTTTAACGTGCTTAATACTCCCTATGTCCTTAATTACTTGTATACTTTTGAATTGACACACATATTAAGAAAACAATGATTGACATAGTGAGTTTACCATTTTACTTCTATTAATTATGAATTGGATGAATTAAAAATTTAAGATTTTCAAGTTCTACCTTTTTCAAAGTAATTAATTGAGGATATAATAGGTTAAAAAAATTGTTTTTTCTTGATTTGTCAAAATGGACAAGTAATTAGGGACGAGGGAGTATAGTGTGTATGACTTTCAAATCTGTCAAAATAATGTTACGGGTGAATTCGAACATCCTTTACAGTTGCGACGCAGGATTTGCTTGTGTCGTAGATGTTCAATCAATATCTTAGATATATATGTGTTAATAACAAATTATGATTTATATATGTAGTGTAATTTTCTGGTTAAGGGTGTTTGATAATTTGAACGTTGTTTACCGTTGCACCTAGGATTTGCTTGTGTCATGGGTGTCTAACATTTTATGTGTGTGCGCGCGTGCGCTAATAATAAAACTTAATGTAATTTTTTTGTGAAGGGTGTTTGGTTAATCATTCTTGAGTTATTGTAGCTTCTGATCAATAATTAAAATGTATGATCATCCTATCCAAAAATACACACAATTAACTAAGCAGTGTTTGGTGCGTTGCAACGACTATTAAGGTTCGTGTGAAAAAAAAAAAGGCAAATTATAAGAAATAGCCATTCGGCGATTTCAATTACCAAAATTTTAGCCAAGTTTTCAAAATTAGCCAAAATTTCTTCTTCTTCCTACTCACACGGTTGTCTTAATCTCTAGGTCACTAAAATCATCGCTTGGGACCCTCATTTTAAAAAAAAAATTACTTATATATGTTATTTTTAAAAGAAAATTATTTTTACTATGAGTGCTATGATTTCTACTAAGGAAATTGCATATGAGATGAATATAAACTTGAATTTCGTAAGAAACAATTTGATGAAAATATGAATAACGAAATCACAAAGTTCCTTGAAGAATCTTTTGGAGTTGATTACTTTATATATGTAGAGTAGATCAAACTATTTTTTCACTTCAAAATAGATTTGAACCAATTGAAGCATATAAAAATATTTTTGATTTCTTATTTAGTGGTAAAATATTTGAAGTCACTAGATAATGAAAATTTTAAAAAAAAACTGGCTTAACCTTGAACTTTCTTTAACACGTAATAGTGATTTTGATATTGATGATTTAGATTTATTTTTTGAATTAAAAGTGTTAAGAGAAATAATACATGTAGAAGATAGTGATCTAATGAAAATACTCAATCAAATAAAAAGAGTTGATTCTTTTCCAAATACACATATTACTTATAGAATAATATTAACAGTTCCTACAACCGTTGCCTCAGCTAAAAGAAGTTTTTTTCTTAAATTATAATTGATTAAATCTTCTTTAAGATCAACAATGTCTCAAGAGAGATTGAATGAATTAACTATATTATCATTTGAAAAGAAATTGTTAAAATAAATTGATTATAAAATAGTATTTGATGACTTCACATTTAAAATAGCTAGAAAAGTAGATTTTAAATAAAAATATATATGATAAAAAAAAATATTAGGGTCCTCTCTTAAATTTTACTTTAGGCCCCTAATGTTGTCGAGTCGACCCTGTGTTCTCAGTTTGTTATTAATGGCTTCTAATGTTCTTCCTCTTCCTTCTCATTTCGCCATTAATATACAATGGCTTCTTTTCCTTCTTCCTCCCTCCTCCTTATTCTTCTGCATCATTTTTTCTCTTATGGGTCGTCGTCTTCTTATTCGTTGTTTTTTCTTCTGCTTTTTAAAAAAAGTTGCATACTGTAAACGTGAATTGTTTTGGGCGAATTATATATCAAAAGAGTCAAGAAAATTTCATATCTAAATTTTGGGATTGTTTAGAGGTGATTTTGAGTTGACCGAAATTGAATAGTTAATGTATATTTCATGTATAGTTAAACTATATATAGTTTTTTTGAGTGTATCATAATATATATATAATCAGTGTATAGCTCATGTACATATACGCTATGTATAGTCAGTGTATACTTTGTATGACTTTTGGCAAGCTATAGTGTATAGTCAATGTATATTTTCAACGACTTTTACCTATTTTTTTATGTAAATAAAACATGGTTATATTTGTCGTAAATTGATCACTTTATCTTTATTTAGAGAAAATTACGTGGTTAAGCAAACTTATACTACTTAATTAGTCATCATAGCTATAGTTTGCTATAATTACCACTCGTGACTAACATTAACCATTAATTGTGTGGGCTGACTTCGAGTTTGTATGATTAGCCACGTTTGTATAATTCGCCACATTTGTATAATTTGAAACTAACAATTATTCGTTTGAATTGTATTTGTATACGATGGTTTATATTTGTATATGACGATGATTTCCTTTGGTTTTTCAGTTTTATCACCATATACATTCAATCTTTTTGTTTATAACTTTTTAAAGTTTGTATAAACGTGTAGTTTTCGGATTTTGTATAATATAATTTATATAATGTAATTTGTATAATATAATTTGTCTAACTCCTTATGTTTGTATCAATTTGTTATTTCGAGTTTTTATCATATTTGTATAATTCTAGACTTTATATTACTCAATTATACAAAAACACGCGAAGTATACAAACGTAGCCGCGAATTATACAAATTATTGACCTCTCTCGCTCGCCTCTCTCCTCCCTCTCCCAATCTCGCTCGCCAGATATACAAATGCATATGTTTACCAGTTGCATATATACAATTATCTAAACGATATACATAACCAATTCATCTCTCTCCCACTCTCTGCCCTCTCTGGCTCGCCTCTCTCATCCCTCTCCCAATCTCGCTCGCCACTCTCCTCCCTATAATATGTAGCTACGAATCATAATTAGCAAACTATAGCTATGGAGCGTAATTAAGCTATTTTTGAGTGGCAATATGTAAAAGTTCTCTTGCTATATATATTTGAAACTAGCCCAAAAAGAAAACATATATAATCTCCAATTTTATAAGATTTCGTTGAAGTGTAATATTTTATAAAGAAAACTATTTCTATATGTTTTGAAAATGAAATAGCGCAATATAATTACTACGTATTGGTTATAATAACTAGGACCGTATGTTAGCATATCTAGAACATTATCCCTAATTTCAATTACGTGTTGGAAGTAAATATGATTTATATTCATATGATTGGGGAAGTTGTCTAATTTATTTTAATAAGATACATTCATTTTTTTCTTCCAATGGACGGAGAAATTAAAAAGGGCAGAATTAAGAAGACCGTGAACGAAGTGGTTCACGTGTTATATATTAATAATTTTCGTTTCTAAGTTGTAATTCTTATATTATATTTATAATTATAACATGGCCAATATATTAGTTTTGTCTATTTAATATAATATCCAAAGTCTTTTCAAATGATGAAGGCAAATAGGAGAAAGCTAGGTAAACGACGTGAGTCGTGACTCACGTGTTATGAATAGTAATTTTAATTTCAAAGTTGCAATTATAGTTATTAATAGTGGTAACATGGCCAGCTTGTCTCATTTACACAAGCAACATATAGTACAAATAGACTGCTATAAGAGTAGCTTAAAAGGTTACATAATAGGATAGGACCCTAAATGTGAAGACAAAGTTGAATGCTATTCCTCATGACAACCAAGATTAATAGATGATAATACAAGTAAACTATCTTTTTTGACAGATAATGAAGAGTGGATTTGGTTTGATAATTTATAAGATTATATTCCACTCAATTTATAAGATAATAAAGAGTGGAATTGATTTCTCAAATAATAATTATTAATTAAATGATCATCTCATAAATCAATCGAATGGAGTCGTACTCTTTATTACATTTTTAGTTAGTCGCATAAATAAAAAATTCAATAAGTATCGTTAGGTAAAGTGAAATGAAAAGAGCAATTTCTATAAAAATGCAACTAAAACAAAATCAAATGGACGGTAATCAATATAGCAGAGTGAACCAAATTTAGACACGATGCAAATAGCTCTCATGAATGTGGGCTCAAAAATATTTAGTTGATTTGACACAAGTTGTTGGATAATAATATGTAATTAACTACACTCCTTTACTTATTTTAATATTCATTTATCTCTATTTATTTCAAAAATTCCTAATTTACCCATGTATCTCGCATGTATTCCGTGCATAACGCTATGTATCCCGCTATGCGGAATGTATCAAACGCTATGTATCTCGTGCAGAATGCTATGTATCCTGCATGTATCCTGTGCACAATGCTATGTATCCCGCTATGTGAAATGTATCAAACCTAATGTATCCCGTACACAACGCTATGCATCTCGCTATGTGGAATGTATCAAACCTAATGTATCCCGTGCACAACGCTATATATCCCGCAAACATCATTTTTAAGGAATTTTTGATAAATAGAAAACTAAAAGGGATAGGATGTTATTTAGTACTTATAATATGTGGTTCCTATAATTTATACTAATAATTATTTAAAAAAAATCGTATGTCGTTGCTTATCTCCACAAAGCCATTATCTAATTATGAAAGTGGGACATTTTTCTCTTCTAGAATACATGGTATGAAATACATAGAGTTGTTACTCTCCCGTCCACATTTTTAATTGTCATGTTACGCTTTTTAAAAATTTATTTGATTAATTTTTAAAGTTAAATTAGATCTCATTAATTCGATATTTTAAACAAAATAAATTAGATATTCAAAAACTATACAAAAAGTACTATAGATTACAATTTTTGCATATCAATATGATAAAAAAATACATCGTAAAATTTTAGTCAAATAAATTCTGATAGTTTGACTCTAAAGAAGAAACCATGACAATTAAAAATAGACGGAAGGACTAGTTTATACTACATGTTTAATTTATCCAAAGATGACTTAACAAATGAAACTGATCATCAAGATTCAAGATTATAAAATCCAATGGAATCTGTCAAAACTAATGTGGAAAACAAAACTGTGTTACTATTGAGATAATATTTTCGTGTCTGTTGGTGAGGATGTGATCAAATTATAATGATCCTTGAATGTACGGGAGTGGGAATTGTTTTTCATATATACCACATAGTCGAAATAGTTTTTGATGTATAAAAAATAATCATTTTGGTCGTTTATATATACCATATATCATATAATCGAAATAGACTTAGTTCATGAAAAAAATTGTTCTTATTTTCGTCTTAAACCTTAAAGGTAACAATGTAAGTAAAAAAAAAAATTGTTAAATTTAACCACCCATTTACGAAAGGAAAGCAAAATCTAACCTCTTATATTTATTTATTAGACTATATATTATTATAAGAATAAAGTAAAGTATTACCCAACGAAAGTTGAATTTTTCAGTAGATATGATTTTTGCATTATCAAGCTCAATGTTCTTTGATTTTACCAACCACACATTGTTAATGAATTTAAGATCTATGTCTTCGTCCATGTAATTATTATTTGATAAATATACAGGTTAGGAATTTTGCCTTAAACTTCTTCATCAGTTAGATGAATCTTTTTGAAGAAAAAAAAATGTATCGACACTTTTGAAGTAATGTCGTAAGAGTTTTATAAGTTTTTCTTATTTTAAATAAGTAGCGATGAAGTTATAATAAATTATATCATTAAAAAAAATACAAATTTTAAAATTAAATAGTTTTTTAAAATATGAACGAGTCATTATTTTTTGAACAAATCAATCAATAAAAAAAAACTGAAGAGTGTGTCATCAAATAAACTATTAAAAGCCTATTTGGATTAGCTTATGATAAATAGTCGATAAATTGTAAGTGTTAAAATCAATTTTTATAAACAAACAGTTATGAATTTAAATAAAAATGTTGAAACTGACAATAAACAGTTTATGTATTTGATAAAAAAAAATCATAAATTGTTTTATGTTAAGATAGACTAGCATATCCTTAAAATTTTCATTAAAAATATAAATTTTAAAGATCTTCTAAAGAAAAGAAGGAATTATAATCTAGGGTGAAGAGGAAGTTCTAAATTTTATTTTGAGAAAGGTATTGTGAGAACTAAAAAAAATTAAGAAGGTAAGTAGTAAATAATTTAGTCAAATTAAAAGTACTTACACGCCTAAATAATTATTACTTTTGGTTGATTTCGACTTATAAGCATTGTATTATTCATCAAATACTCTCATCGTTTTTTAGTTGTCATGTTGTACTTTTTTTAAAGTCAGTTTAATTAACTTTTAAAGCTAAATTAGATTACATTAATTTGACATTTTATAATAAAAATTTAAAATTTTAAAATCAATGCGAAAAATACTATAAATTTTAATTTTTTTCTTATTTATATAATAAAGAATATATCTTAAAATATTAATTAGTGTTCATATTGTTTGACTCTTGCAAAAAGAAGAAGAGAGTAGATAAGTCAAAAAATACTTACAAACTAATTTGATCACTTTATAAACTTAGTAAACACTGATGATTCCTTTTCAATTTCTCCCTCTGTGTCTGGTACATGCATTAGAATCTGACTATTTCGGATCGGAGGAAAGCACTCTCACTATCAATTTTTTTTTATATCTAGAACACAAACTCAATATATTTGATTAAACAAGAAGCAACCTCATTCATTATACCGATTCTGATGAGCTATATTACTTGTAACTTAACCATGGTTGAGAAGAAGGCAGTCGATCAAGTTCTGCCGCTAAATCACAAAAATTGCTAGACAAAGGGACACAAGACCCTTTGACAGATGTTCCCACGATGACCTGCATACTTATTACCGTGACAAATGCTCATATTACAACTTTGTTTTAGTTATTACTTCTCTGTCCTAATTTATCATACATATTTCATTTTAAATAAAATTTATATATTTATAAATTATTACGTAAAAGTATTGTAAGTCACAATAATTTATAATTTAAAATTATATAAAAAATATATAATTAAAAATAAATTTATTTGAATCTTGAAATTTGCTCGCGGAGTGGGGTATTTTTTATTTTTTTGGGTAGCATCTCTCTATTCTATAAAGTTGAAAAAGTCTTCAATTCCAAAACCATACTTTGTTTCTTTCTTCTTCCTTAATTCAATTATTTTTCCTCTCTTTTGGAGAAAGTCCTCCCTTCCTCTTTACTCAACATTCATTCATTTATACCATTCCACAATTATCATTATTTTCCTTTGTTATGATCACATATTATTCTAGCTAGGAGTTTTTATTTTCATATATGGGGGCTACTATTTCTGGCTTGGTGGATCATGAAAAATTAACAAGTAGTAATATTGGTCCTTTAGAGACTGGACTTGGAGACTTGCCAGAAAGCTGCATAGCTTTGGTCCTTACACATCTCGACCCAATTGAGATCTGTAAAATTAGTCGAGTCAGTAGAACATTCCATCAAGCTTCATTGACTGACCTAGTCTGGGAGTCAAAATTGCCTCAAAATTATCAAATTCTTCTCAAAAATTACAAAAATCTATGGTCAAACGTTAGCGTAGACTCGGGTAGTTTGACAAAGAAAGAGATATTTGTCAGATTGCGTCGTCCGAATCACTTTGGGAGTAGCAATTACAAGGTGTGCGCATATGACCTTTTTTTCGTCTCTCACGTTGTGTGATATTATACTGAATATGTTATTATCGTTTTACAAGTATAATTTTCTTTTCAAAATCCTTCAGTATTTGGTCAAGGGAAAATAAAGAACAAGAGAACAAAATTTACAATGGTTCTCCAGACTGCATTTTTTCCTTTTTTAAAATTTTTTATTTTATTTATATTTTTATATAAATATATTTATTTATTTATTTATTTGATGGAGATATTAATGTTTGGGTGTTATCTTGTTATGGCAGGCATTTTGGATGGAAAAAAATAGAGGAATATGTGTTTGTATATCGTGGAAGGAAATGAAGATAACAGGCATAGAAGACCGCAGATATTGGACTCATGTTTCATCTGATGAATCAAGGTTTCTTTCGTATCATTTTAATTGTCGCTTTAACTTTTTATTTTACTATAGTTTATTATCTCTATTTAAACGGGACACCGAAAGAGTAGTACGTTTCATTTTAACGTAGTAATCATGCATTACATTTTCGTTATACATAGTAAATGGAGAAATTAGAAATGTCTTTGATTATGGGACATGAATGTTGAACAATGTAAAAGATGTTTGTTGTGCCAATAAAGAAAATACTTTGGCGTGTTGGGTGTATCAAGAAAGAGATTGTTTTGATCAATAAACTTATTAAAAGATTTTTAATTACTTTTAGAATATGAATAGGGAGTTGGAGTCATTTAAAAGAAAAGAAATAAATGTAACCAAATTATGAAAGAAGGATCCATTCATTTTTAATCACAAAATCTTTGAAATAATCGGCTTTACACGGTGCGGATTTTAAAAAACTTAGAGACAATTTTTCTTTAAAAAAATGATGCATATCTAGCTGTCAGAAAAAATTAAGTCCTACCACATAAACATTATATTCCACGGCTACCATTCTAGCTACGTACCTCTGTTTCAATTTACGTGACATTTTTTATTTTTTGAGTGTCAAACGTTTAAGTTAGATTGGAATTTATGATGCAATTTTTAAATTTTTTGAAATGAAATTTATATATTTATAAACTACTTAAAAAGTATTATAAGTAACAATAATTGACAATTCAAAATATTTAAAAGATGTATGAAAAATTTACGGTAAAAAATAAACTAGTTTAAATCTCGAAAATAGAAATGTGTCACATAAATTGGAACGGAGAAAGTAGTATTTTTTTTTTTAACTTCTTATATTTAATTTAATGGCTTGTTTTGACTTTAGTGTATATTTTAACACTAAATACACTCTACTGGTTTCTTTGATATTGGAGAAAACGTGGGAGGTCGAAATTTGACATTTGAACAAATTAAATGAATTGCATAGTGGGATTGCTTTTACTTAAAAGATTGGGAAAATTTCGAGAGAGGAAAAAAATGTTTCTTGTTCCAGTGAGTTACTATAGTTAATTTTTTATATAAATGATTTAAGTGTCGGTTGTCAACCGATTATTAGGGATTTGGCTCCCCTTTATTACACTTTTCCTTCTTCGTCAAGTACACTTCTAGATGAGAGATATGTGTCCGATTTAATTTTTAAAGGTTAAGATTACAGTATATTAATAAGTATTATAACCATAGTTAAGTCAACAATTCTTTTGAAAAACTATTTTCCAAATTTGACAAAAATAAAATATTGCCCACAAATTTAATATTTATTAATATCATTAGTTTCATCTTATATTTTTATATTCAAAAATTAAAAAGTAGAACATGAATCTAACAATATTTTTATTTAGCGTGATAAAATGTGTTTTCAAAATTCACAAAAAATAACGAAGAAGATAAAAGAATATTTTCTAAAAACATATATATTTCTTTTTTTTTCTTTCTTCAAACACAGCAGCAACACTTTCTCCTAAACTTTAGAATTTTGATATTTCACATTTGTAATCTTGATAACATCTCAACTTTTTTATTATTATTTTTATTTCCCGTTCTTTTATTTTATAATTTTTGTCAACATTGATAATTTTTCACCTTTTTTTTGTTTCTCAACATAATATTTCAAAAATAAATTTTATTGGCACACAATTTTTTTTGGTCGATTCTCATCTTAAATATCGCATAGTTTAATATTTAAATAAAAAAAATATAAGATGAAAATAATGATATTAATGGATATTAAAATTTATGTGGAATATTTTGTTCTTACTAAATTTGGAGAATAGTTTATCAAAATTTGTTAACTTAACTATGGTTATAACGCTTATTAATATACTATAATCTTGACCTTTAAAAATTAAATAGGACACGTGTCTCTCATCTAGAAGTGTACTTGATGAAATGGAGGGAAAGTGTAATGGAAGGGAGCCAAATCCGATTATTAGTACGTTCATATCATTATAAATATAATTTATAATAAGATATCTTACATGAAACAACAGGTTAATAGGCATGATTGAATGAGTGAAAATCTTTTACATGTGAATATATATGTACTATATATAAGATACCTTTCTATATTAGATCTAGCAAATATATGTAGCTGGCAATTAATCCCACATTTAACGACGATGCTGTAAAGAAGTCACTAATCATATGGTTGAGAAAAAAAATAATCAATTTCCAGATATTCTTTTGATAAGCACTTTCAAGATTATAGACTATAGTCTCATCCAACGTAAAAAACGTGGTATATATATAATTCTCAATTAAGTAGGTTTTTCTGCCACCAACCAAACACAATGTTGGACTGACTTTATGTATTATGAGTGTTCCAGCTAGCACCTTACTTTTGTAGCCATATTTTATGATGAGAGTGAAAAAAATGTCTTTTTAACGTTTGTGATTGGTTTCATATTATCATTTTTCTCAAAAATACTTTTGAACCATTACTAACGGTGAAAGTCACATAAGGGCATATTTGAACCTTTTAACTGCTCAAGAGTATATTTTAGACAAAAGATAACGATAAGGGTATTTTTTCACTCTTCTCCGTTAATTATTTAGAAAAATCTTGTTAACGTAGCTAATATTGTGTCACAAATATCTTTAACAGGTTCAACACATTCGCATTTCTCAAACAAATATGGTGGGTGGAAGTGGAAGGGAACTTAGAATTCGAATTCCCAGCAGGGAACTACAGCGTGTTCTTTCGTCTTCAGCTGGGAAAAACGTCGAGAAGACTAGGGCGACGAATCTGCACGGTTGATCAAGTGCACGGGTGGAATATCAAACCCGTCCAATTTCAACTATCAACATCAAACGGCCAGCAGGCAAGTGCACAATATTACTTGAATGAGGCAGGAAAGTGGATAAACTATTATGTTGGAGATTTTGTTGTGGACAGCATGCCAACAAAGTTAAAGTTCTCAATGACTCAAATTGATTGCACTCATACTAAAGGTGGTCTTTGCTTAGACTCTGTGCTCATTATCCCTGCTCACATTGGACCAAAGTATGTTAACTTTTAAAATTGTACATAGCGGAGTTTGACTTATAAGTGATTAATGAAATGTACATAAGGATTTAAGTTTAAGTAGGGCAAAGATTGTTGGTTAAACTTTAGTGGACATACCTATTAGTAAAGATAGATTCAGAATATAAACTAATGTGTTCAATTTTTATTATTTTCAACATTGAATCTATAATGTTGAAAATTGCTTGGTAATTTCTTCCTAATTGTAGCAAGCAAAGATAAATTATGAATTTAAATTAATCTGTTGAATTTTATGAGTTTCGTTCAACATTAAACTGAATTCTCTATAATGTTAAAAAATTATGTGTTCAGATCAAATATTTATATTTTAGTAAATCTTAGTCTTTTTTGTTTTTTTAAAGGAAAAATTACCTATATACACACCTAAATTTTTCATAATTTCCATTATTCCCTACAATTTTAAAATATTTTCAAAATTCCTTATTTTTCCTAAATTTTCAAGTCAGCGGATACATTACTCAAACATAACAAACCCACGTTTCACACTCCTATTTTCACTCCTTCAATCTCTCCCTTATTTTAGTCTCATAATCTAATCAGTTACATCCTTCATCCCAATTTGAATTTTCTAGTCAATCAATTTCAAATAACTGAATAGGCAGTTTTCATCTTCTCCGTTCTATTGTTCTTCGATTATTTTTTTTGAAGTTTTCATCATCTCGAATCTACACTTTATTTCATTTTATATATTACTTTTTTCACAACATTATTGTATCATATACATCATTTTTCAACTAGATCATGATGCATTACTTTTTCCACAACATTATTGAAAATTGCTTGGTAATTTCTTCCTAATGGTTAAACTTTAGTGGACATATTTATTAGTAATTGTAGCAAGCAAAGTTAAATTCTGAATTTAATTTAGTCTATTGAATTTTTATGAGTTCCGTTCAACATTAAACTGAATTTTCTATAATGCAAAAAATTATGTGTTCAGATCAAATATTTATTAATATTTTAGTAAATCTTAGTTTTTTTTTGTTTTCTTAAATTGCTTTATTGGACCATTGGTCCGTTTATTTCTCATAAAAATCATCATACACAAAATAGGCTGAGATCCAATAAGTCTATCAGCCCAATCTAGCAAAATGCCAGATAGCCCAAAAAAGGAAATAAATGGACAAGCCGATCTTGGAGACCAAGAATTTGCCATCCCCACTAAAATAGTAAATATTAGTTATAATTTTGAGATGATGGGTGCAATATTAAAAAAAGGTTGATCTAAGATATAAATTTAATCGATTCGACATTTAGGTTTTTACTACTGAAAACCGTTAAAATTTTAATCCTATAGGTCCAAAATTAATGCTTATATATATAATAATAATATTAATTAAACTGCAAAAAGTGCTACAATTACCACTTAGAGAAGTGTTATCTAATTTTAGAAGGAAAAATAAAACAAGATAAATATAAAATTTAAATCTCTAACCTCACGTAGAGAGATGCACCCAATCATTATCACATTATATGATACTCCTAGTGTGGATTGACACATCTATATTTCAATATTTTTAAAAAATATAACACTAATATACATGATCTCGGGAGGGGAGCATGAGTTCACGTGAATCCGGTGAGCCCCGGATATGCCTCTGATCATATATTTACATTTTCATGTCGAATATTATGGATTCAAATGAATTTGTAATCAAAAGTCTATATCCGTCTTTGATATGTAATTAATATTTATTTAAGATATGTGTATGCTAACCGCAATATAAAACAAAAAAGTAATTATATGGCTTGCTTACTATCCTACTAGACAACTACCACCATGTTCCAAATGGAGATAATTAGTTGTCTTACTATCTAGAATGACTTTGTAATCCATAAATTAGATTAGGTCATGGTGTTGTAGCAATATGCCGTGTAGTCATGTGGACGCTAAATAAGAATTCTTGTATTACTATATACAAACGGTTGTGAGTTGTTAGTTATTATAAATACTTTTTGTAAGTCAAATTCAACGAACCAATATAAGGCTTTTTTGATTCATTGTGTGAGATTATACTTATCTTTGATGATCATGATCTGAATTCCAAAAATAAGTAGAAAAACAAACAAAAAGTTGTAATAAAATACGAAATTAATAATTTGTGAAATACTACTTGTTAAAAAATATAGATATAATTGAAGTGGTAATTTGACAAAATATATTAAATTTTGTTCACTCCTAAAGTCAAGATGATTGTAGACAATTAGTAAACCTTATATAAACAAATTGAATACGGCAAACTATAATAAGAATGTCAAATGGGTGAGTATGACTAAATTTGAGCAAATCAATTTATAATTAAACAAATATACCTACTATAATTACTCAATCCAACTACAATTTAAAATAATTCCTCATAATTTTAACACAATCCTTGGGTTGTTGTTTGTTGTGAGATAATATGGTCAAAAAATCTCCCTTTGATACTTATCCTCTTCGGCAACAAACCATTTTTTCATTATCTCTGGTGATTTAATTTTCTATTATCTCATTTCATTATAATTTTACATTTCATGCTAAAATAACAAATATTAGAAACGATGAACAAAAACAAACACTTTTGAGAGAAATTTCTTTCTTTCTTCTACATTTTATAGTCTAGATTTGGCTTTTCTATCAAAATAGGACTACAATAATAATTACTTCTAGTATTTATTACAATTATATAACTATCATAAATACAATATTGATCGAACAATACAAATTTCACTAGTTTAGAGTTTAATTACTTATATTCATTTTAATTTTTTGAAATTATATTTCGTACCATATTTACTTCGCTAGATACATGTATCTGACACACTTGAATATATACATCTCAGACACATATAATTAAATTAGGTATAATTTATTCCAAATACACTATATCAAAACATATTCACATGTAATTAGAAAAGATGCAAATGCAATTGCATAGAAAAGCTGCAAATGGGGCCACCAAGTCTGGGATAGTATATAGTAGTATCTTTTTTAAGGATACATCAACAATTAAACAAATGTTAGCTGTTGTTTTAGTCTAGCAATGAAAAGGTATAATATTATTATTCATTTGGTACAACAATCCTAAAAATATTTTCAAGTTATTAATTAATGTTATTTATCATACTTTGTGCATATATTTTTAAATAATATTCGTATGTTATTTTTTCTGTTCTAATTTATGTGATATTCATAGAATTTGAAGAGTCAAACAATTGTTAATGATCATGATATATAATATTTTTTATATAATTTATAAATATAATTTATTTTAAAAGTTAATTATTTTTATATTGTACTATTGCTTATCTAAATTCTTAAATATATAATCAACTAAAACAAAAATGAGACATAAATTGAAATAGAAATAATACAAAATAGTATATAATAGTAATGGTCAGTAAATGGGATCATGTTTTCCTAAACAATATATGTAGTAATTAATTCTCAGCCGATATGGGTCAATATATGTTTTCTGTAGTTTTTCCTTAAATTAAAGCAATTTTTTTATAGGACATATGGGTAATTATTTAAATGTTATAGTAGTTGCCTTTTTTGTCTAATTAGAAAAGGTACATTTAGGCCCTTGGCTTTTGGCTTTTGGCTTATGACTTATAAGCCAAAAGTCATAAGTTAGGATTTCTAACTTATGATTTTTGGCTTATTTTTGTTATTTTGATTTTTAAATAAATGCTTATAAGCATTTTTAATTTTATCCAAACACTTCAAAACTGCTTAAAAGTTATTTTGACTTAAAAACACCTAAAATAAGTCAATCCAAACGGGCTCTTATACAACAACAAAATACAAAAGACTTCAGCAGCAAAAAATACGAAAGTAACAAAAATATCATTGTCATACATGTAGACATGTTGACTAACAGAAGCCTGCTGGTAAACTCTAATATTATGCATAGTAGTAATAATATATCGTAGTGTAAGTATATATTAGTATATATAAAGTAAAAGTAAATTACTTCCTCCTCCGTTCCTTTTTATATGTTATCTTTATTATAAATAGTTAGTTCATACAGTAATATTTATCATTTCATAAAACAATGCATAAATTACAATATTCTTCATATTTTACTTTTTTGAGTTATTAGCCTTGAAAATATACATTTGATTAATATAGAAAAATTAAATGAATACTTCATGTTAATTGGTCAAAGTAATTAATCAAAATAAATTAATTTATATTCATTAATTAAAAAGTTGACTTTGAAAAAATTAAATAATGATAGAATAACAAACTTACTGCATTAATTAATGTACGTGAAATTAAAAATGATGATATATAAATAGAAACGGAGGGAGTAATGTTGAAGGCGTTGAGTGTACACGTGCAGGACAAAATGTGAGAGTGAAATGTCATAAAAACCCATCTTTGTCCTTTTCCTCATATGTTTATCTTCTTAGGCCCTCTCTTTCTCCCTCACTCTGCACTTTGCTTCAGAAAAACTCCAAATTTAGCAGGTAACTACTACTTATCCTTCTTTTTGTACCTAAAAATAAAATTTAAAATAAAAAAGTATGATATAAATAATCTTGAAATTGCTGTTCTGTGTATCCAATAACCACATTTGATTCTTGAATTTGTATAAAAACTCCTTTCTCTTTCTCATTGAAGTTTTCTCTCACCTGGGGTTTGTTTTTTTATTCCTTTCTTCACTACCCTTTTTATTGTACTTGGGTTTCACCAGATTCCATTTTATTTTTTTGATTATGCCATCTAATTTAATTATGGGTCTTTATTAGTATCTTTTTTGTTGCTGTCTGAAGTATTTGTTTGAACCCAATTGTCTTAAGAACATGAAATTTCTGTCTTTTAGATACCACATTAGGGGTAAATTAATTAAATAGATTAAATCAACCCTGAGTTTAGACAAAAAGGAGGGATGAAATTTCTGTATTTTCGTATTTGGTTTGGAATTGTGAATTCAACTTTAAAGATGTTCTGGAGTACTATGTTTTGACTGATTTATATTCTACACTTAAATTTGCTTATTTGTGTTTTTTCTTAATTCAAATTATTTGGTTTTGAAGTTTGTCTTGTTGGGTTTTTGATAGGTGACTGAACGTGTTGATCGTTGAAAGTGATAAAGATTGAAGCTTTACAAGGTTTCGTTTTAGGGGAATAAAGTAAAAAGTTTGTAACAAAAGAAATGGAGGGTTGTGGGGATTTTGTGCAATGCCTTTTACCTGATATGTCTATAAAGATCCTAAGTTGTTTGGATGACCCGGCTGATCTTATCCGGGTTTCTGCTGTGTCTAGTTCTTGGCGTCAATTCGGTAAACTATTCTATTTATGCTCTTCATTTTACTACTACTTTGCTGTTTCATTAGCTTATTTGTGCTAGCTGTAGTTTTATTAGTTTCAGCTTGGATCAAATTGAATAAATTTGAAGGATTGGTGATTTCCCGATTCTCTTTAATTTTACTTGTTGGACGCTGGATCCTCCTATATCTGTCGATCACTTGATATTACATACGACATGACCATGAGAGGGCTTCTTGAAAATGGCTATGATAATATGAAATGCAGTCTCTTGTTCTTTGATTATTACTATTGGTTGTTTCTTGTACTTCGACTATCGTATTAATTTGTTGTAGTACTGTTTTGTTTCTATCTGTTGTTTCTTGTACTTCCATTATTCTTTTTTTGGACTGTTTTCTTCTTGAGCCCTCTACCTCTGAGATAGGGGTTAGGTTTGTGTAACACTCTACCCTCCCCAAAACCTACTTTGTAGGACTACATTGGGTATGTTGTTGTCTATAATATGAAACGCAGTACCATTCCTTCCATCTCTTCACATTCCATTACTTCTATTCTATATGGATAGCCTGATGGAGATGTCCTTATTTCTATTGATGAGATTTTAATTCTTTTGGTATTTATTTAGTGGCATTGTCAATTTTTATTGCTAGTCTTGTGCTGTTAAAAGATTTGGATCAGAATATGATGCAAGAGTTTCTTTGATGGAATGAGAAAATCGAGGTTTCCCTATCCTTATCTCCTTTTTCTCTCTTTCCAATGTCACATTAGTTCAGAGTACACAATGTTGAAATCACAATGGAATATGAACAGTCTCTAACCCCTTTTAAAATCCTTGGAGTAACCGGTAAAGTTGCTGCCATGTGACCAGGAGGTCACGGGTTCAAGCCTTGGAAACAGCCTCTGGCAGAAATACTAGGTGAGGCTGCCTTCAATAGGCCCTTGTGGTCGGGCCCTTCACCGGACCCTGTGCATAGCGGGAGCTTTAGTGCACCAGGCTGTGTTCTTTTTCTTAAGTGCATTTTCCACCTGTCTGGTTCTTTTGGATTTTGTCAGAACTTAGAGTTCCTCATGTTTACTCAGACCAAGACATTCTTGTATTCGGGTTGCTTTTACTTTGATCTCTTAAATCATTCATTTAGGAATAGTATGCGACTCTGTGTTTTCTTATTGACTGCCTTTTATATCAAATATTCAATTCTTTTGCAGTGATTGGAAATGACTTGTGTAAGCATCTCTGTTTAAAGAGATTTCCTGAAATATCAAGTGTTGGAAATATGATTGAAGTTGAAAACACGGTTGTACCAGTGGTATCTCTGCCTGAAAAGTCTACAGAGTGGTTATGCTTGGAGAGGAATCATAGAGTTTATGCATTTTTGTCACGCGGCCTTTCCAATTGTATGACGGAAGACTGCTTAATAGGTGCAATTCATGCATCAAGCACTGACAACTATCCTGAAGAAAGCATTCTGAATACATTAAAACCAGGTGATCGTGTTGAGCGCAGAGCTTCGTACTGGTCAAGTGGAGGACAAAGTGATCCTACAGTTCCCGAGACACTAACATATAAATTAATCTCAAAGCTGTGCCTGATTTCAGAAATTCATGTACAACCATTTCAAGGTTGCACCTCAAAACTCTAATCTTCTATGATGATTTGGATTTGTTCCTTCTGCTTATTTGTTTATGGTTTCATTAACCAGAAACATTATGATTTTGTGACAGCGTATTTCCAGTTTGGCTTTCCCATTTATTCAGCAAAAGCTGTGAGATTCCGGGTGGGACATCCTAATGTTAAAATAGATGTAGAAAGTGACAACGGACATGAATCTGTAGCTGCTCAAGCCCAATCTTTCTGTGACAAGATTGTATGGACATATACCTCACCAGAATTTCCCTTGGTTCAGGTAATAAACAGTAGCGGTATTTCAGTTTCCTTTATTCTGATTAGTTCTTACCCCTGAAATGGTCAAAGGATACTCTAGGCTGACATCTGTCTTTGGGATAATAATCAGTTCCCAAGTCATAGTACTGCACGATTTTCCCTAACTAAGATTATTCCTGGTCTTACTTGTGTCGGAGCATGTCTTTGTCGGAAGTATATCACCCATTTTAAAAAACTAGTAGGTGTTCAACTCATGAATGAACTAATCTTCTTCATTTGCTGACGAAAGCAACCAATTTAAAACTGACTTCAGCTGCAGCTAAGTTTTGGTTAAAATTTCTACTTTTATGTGTCTCGACTTTGTAATAGCCAAGTTTGGCTTCTTATGGGTACAGGAGAACATCTTGCAGAAGTTTAAGCTGCCAGAACCTGTTCTTTGCATTGGCGGAATCCTACAAGTCGAGCTCTTAGGCAGAGTTCAAAAACAACAACTGGATAGTCTATACTATATATGGTCAGTTCCCCTTCTTATGATTTGTCGGCCTCAAAATTCTAATTGACTTCTAATTCCTGCTATCAAGTACAACAGCCATAGTCTACCGTAAGGTTGTTGTATATCTATATGAGTCACATTGGTTTTAAAGATCATGAGTCAAGGCATGTTTGCATTTGTTTACTTTCAGATACTCTATACGAGACAGGGTATATAGTACTATCAATTAATTTTCAATCGTGAATACATATGTATCCTTAAGATACTGAAACGGCTACCATTATTGGTGCTCAGGACTTGAGAGGTTTGTAAGATAACTTTTTATTAATTTGCCTTTTTATAGTGTGTCGCACGTCCAAGTTGTTGGAAGACCACTCTTGTCAGCATTTGATGTTGAGATACTCGATGAATCTGGGAAGTGCAGTCTGAAGTACTGCCCAAAAGAAAGGTTGTTGTGCGAGTCAAGTAACAAATCTACTGAAGGAGGGTCGAGTAGTCCTCCTCGGTTTCATAGGTTCAGGGCAAGCTTAAGGGGATGGGAGCAAATGATCCTGAGTACACTACTTGGACCCGGAGCTGGCGTGGGTGATGATGATTCAGATGACAACGACGTCTAGCTTTCGTCCCTTTCAAGGCCGTAACAGTTGTTTCTGTGTTAAAATATAATATCACTAGACTTGCTTTTGGGCATCACTGTTGTAGTTTCATATGGAAGGCACATATCGTCATAAACATGTTCAATAATCTATAGTTTCGTTTTCTATTGCCATTCCAAATGCTAAACTACTGTCTTCTTTATTACTATTCTCTCCGTTCATTTTTACTCGTCCACTTTGAACTTTGCACGTCTCTCAAGAAATTAGTTACAGTAATTTAGTTGCTTACAAACATAATAGTGCTATGCCTCGTGCCAATGATAAATTCTTGTAATACTCTCCTATTCCTGAAGTGCCTCAGTAATAGGGAGTAGGGGAGGACATGTTTCGGTAGGGATCGAATTTCAATAATCGAATTACATATTGAAAGAAAGATAGGATATGAAATATTGAAATATTTAGTTATATATATGATTCATATATATTATATTTTTACTAGTAGATATTTAAAATAACATTAGTACAATATTATATATCACATCTCATTTAATGTCATTTTGTATCTAATTGAGGATTCGTTAATATCGTTAAAGACTTTGGAATTTTAATTATTCTGTTTTAATTGAAATGTTTTTTTTTTATAATTGATTAACCAGGAGAATTGCTTACGTTTTTTTTTTTTTGAATATTTCTACTTGTTGTAAAGTGTTAAGTTTGATACCATTAATCGACATTTTTTGAAAAGTTGAAATCATAATTGTTTATTATATAAAATATGTATAAATCAAATCGAATAAATTATGATTATCATCTTGTTGTATCATAACCTATCGAAATCAAACCTAAAATTATTGAAATATACCAAATTGATTTGATATGATAATATTATAGTATAATATGTTTAAAAATTGAAATTATTGAACTAAAGTATCAATGTCGTTATCATGTCCCCCACCCCCCAAAAGGGGGGGGGGGGAGTGTAGCATTTGCAACAATCGCTACCAAAAGATCTACTTTGCTTTATTCAAAATAATTGATATTTTAGCCTTTAAAAGATCTACTTTGCTTTATTCAAATTAATTGATACTTTACAAAATTAAGAAAATATTTGATTATTATTTTTCTCAAATTTGTCCTTCACACATTCTTATATTCCCATGATAATTATGTCAACCATAAAAGGAAAAAAAAAGTCATAATCAAGAGCATTATAGTTAAAATACAACTTAATTTTTTTAAGAGCAGTTGAATTTCTTAAGTGCTCAAACCTAAAATATCAATTATTTTGAACTCAGAGAGTAAATAAGTTGGATCTCACTATTTTATTATAAATTGTTCCATGATTAGTATAAGCCTTTTTTTTCATGATTAGAGTTAACTACATCCCATGTAAGAGATATGCTCAGTTCTCTCAATTGTTCATCTCAGTAAGGAACAATATAATGGCGTAAACACTTTTTACATCTAATACAATATTTGTATATTGTTACTCAATTTTTAAGGTAACTCATTACTTCTTATTTTCTTTACGGTAGGTAAGATACATAATTTGTAATTATTTAAAATTTATTGGATAGAAATGTCAAAAATAATGCGAATATATTAATTCAAATAAATATTTTAGATTAATATAATTAAATTGATTATTTAAGTTTAATAAATATGAATTTAATTGAAGCTCAATTTTATTAGGTTAGTTTGTCAAATTGGGCTACAAATAATGAGTTGATATTGCTAAGCTCAGTATGTCATCTCATTCTAGATGCCCTAATTTGAGGTCACCTGTCAAATGACATGACATATTTAAGTCAAATGAAGAAGCAATAAAATCATGCCACATGTCAAAATGACATAGCATGTGTACCCAAATCAAAGGATAATAAAAATATGTCACATGTTTCAACCAATCAAATATCTCCATATCACTAGAATCTGATTACATTAAAGAAGTTTGTCTTTATCACAACTTTTCAATTCTACAACTATAAATAGAGGTGTACATAACTCATAAAACTCACCGAAATTCTAACAAGAATCCACAAAGTGCTCATGGATCAAACCTCGCAGATTTCTCTAGAAGCACTCAAATACTCAAGCATTTCCCTACAAGTTCTAGGGATCAAGACGAAGATTCAACATCAATCTCAAAGGATCTTGAATTGAAATACAAATCAAAAACAAGTTCATAATGATTCAAGATCGAGAACAAATCCACCATACGATTGTTGTGATACTTTTCAGTCTCCTCAATACGAATTTGACTCTCTATGATAATATAACTCAATACGGTACAATATGTACATTATGAAACAACAGATAATAACCATATCCGTGTAAGTTGTTGTCCATATTGGTATGTTTTATGGTGGTGTTTGTGTTTAATGTGCAGTCGATCGGATATCGAGCAACTCGTCCACGTATGCAAGATACCTGATTTCTCGAGCGTGAGTTCATCCTGCGCTCCTGCCGTACTCATCAAGAAATTGGATTCTTCGAAGCATTGTGTGACGGTTAATAGAGACAGGTATTTCTCATCACTTGGACTGCCTGCATTTTATTTTTTGTGGATATTTGGCCCTATTCCTATGTTCCTTTGCTATAGTAATGATAATTTGAATTTATAAATATATTTAATAAATTTGTCAACAACAATATACCTAGTGGCTAGTAAAATGTACAAGTGGGATTTGGTGAGGCCGTAAAATGTACGATGACCTTATCATTACCTCGTGGAGATATAGAGATAGTTTCCGAAAGACACTCGTCTCAAGTGAAAAAGGAGTTAGTGAGAAAATGATAGTAAGCAACAAGGAAAAGGTGAAACGTCTACCATAAGGGAGCAAAGACAAAAATAGAATAGTGAGATAATTAAGAAACAACATATTAGACAGATTATTGAAAGCAAGAACAAACAATACTATATATCAAAAACTAGAACTACACTAAAACAACTAGTACAATGGTAACCACCAACCACCCTAAGCAAGACAACCCTACACTACCTACTAACTTATTATCCTAATACGTGTCCTCCACACAATTCTATCTAAGGTCATGTCATCGGTAACTTGAAGTTGTGTCATATCTTGTCTTATCACCTCTCCCCTTACTTCTTTGGCCTACATCTAGCTCTCCTCGTACATTCTATAACCAACCTCTCCCACCTCCTTACTAATGCATCTACGCATCTCCTATTCACATGTTCAAACCATCTCAATTGCGTTATTCTCATTTTATCCACCACAAAGGACATTTCTACCTTATCCCGAATATCCTCATTCCTAATCTTATCACTCTTAGTATGGTCACACATCCACTTTATCCACGCCGCATTAATAAATGTGTGATATCACCATCGATATCCCTACTCTCCTAAATTGTAGGCCCAAGATACTTGAATCTATTAAAAAAATTATTGAGTTCATCTATATGTACTCAAGTCCTGCCATTTTGTCCTTATCAGCGCGTATTTAGATGGAGGAGTGTGAACTCAGGTGAACCCATGCTTCTCCCCCTCGACCATGTATACCATTATTACTATAGCTTTACAAAAACTTTTGATATATGCGTGCATCAAATTTATATACGAGCTCTTTCTTTGAAGTTTAGGAGTATCCTATGAGCATAAAATAGTTTGGGTCATCTAGTAGAAACATTCATATGACGAATAGTTTCATTTTTACATAAGTTGAGTTGGATCGATCCTTATATGTGTGATGGTAGAGACAGTTAAGTTAAAAGGTATATACCACGCGAATCGCGACAGCAAATGGAAAGAGAGAGAGCCAAAAGACAAGGCTCCTGAAGAAATCTTTCAATTTCCATGCGCTCCATCAATTTGCCTGAAAGGAAGTTTTTAGGTATCCCTACGAAGTTCACACCCACATCAACAGACCAAAGAGCAAACAATGAACTGAACAGAAGATCAGTAAGCAGTTGATAATGTTGTTGTCCAGTACATTTTCCATAGATTACACTTGTGTATGACTTTCAAGGTGTAAACAAGCAAAGAAACAAGGGCTGAATACCTAAAGAGTGCAAGTGATTAACACCACAACAGCCTCAAAACTAGAAAATAGGGGAGAATCATAAGGAAACAAAAATCTAACACAAGCAACCTGTACAAAGGTATATTAGCAGTACTTTTATCTCTCATCAACCCCCTCCCCCCAACCCCCCCAAGGAGCAAGCAAGTCAACCCTTCCATCCAGGATAACTCATATTGTTGTCAAGATCACTGCTAAGAAAACCATTTTCAGCAAATTCTTGTACCATCTCAGGGGTAAGAATATCATCATCTGATACATGCATACTTGGGGGCAAATCTGGACCTTTTCGACTGAAACCACTGTTGCCAGCCGATGAAGAGGGTTCACAGTTGGATGCTGATTTGAAACTGTAACTTCGGGGCAAATCTGGAGCTTTTTGACTGAAAACACTGTTGCCAGCCAATGCAGAGGGTTCACAGTTGGATGCTGATTTAAAACTGTAGATTCTACCCGGTGTGGGTCCTAAACTGCTCCCCGGCCCATGTGAAGATGTTGCAGCAGCTATAGAACCATTGTTGCCAAATGCAAGCCCTTCCCTCGAAGCACTACCACTCTGTCCTGAAAGGCACTGCTGTTGAACTCCAGACCCATTGTTGCCAAATGCAAGCCCTTCCCTCGAAGCACTACCACCTCCACTCTGTCCAGAAAGGCACTGCTGTTGAACTCCAGACCCACCGTTGTTGGTGTTCATATCCTGGAGGAGCTGCTGGATCATTTGCTGCTGCAGGGCCTGGCTTCCTTGCGAGGATTGAGATTGATTTTGCGAGAGCAAACCGCTACTCAGTAATTGCTGCTGTTGTTGCTGCAGATTGGTACTTGACAACCCACTGACAGGTAAGTTCTGCACTGTCCCTGGCAGCATACCATTGGGCCCTTGCAACAGTGAAGATTGAGAGTGGTTTGAATTATTGAAAGAAGAAGACGCATCTTGTTGGGTTGGATTTGTATTTGAATTCATTGAATTCTGCCGCATAAGCGAATTTTGGAAGTTTGACAGCGAAAGAGCAGCTTGTCCAGAGCCACTTAAAGCTCCCCGACCACCCATGTGCTGGTTATTGCTGATTTGGTTATTAAGCCCAGGGTGCAGTGCCATAAGCTTGTTCAACGCACTGCGATCGGTTGGC